CTAGCTGATAAGTTTTGCCACGGCTGTTAACTAGCAGTGAAGAGAAGTAGCCAGATAGAGTGAGGGAAACATAAAGTGCACAGTCTGTGTACCAGAGAGAGGAAGCCAGAACCACTCTTACGAAGAGAACAGTGACCCAAAAACCCAGAGAACTGAGCTCACTTATACTGTATATCTAGCAACTGGGGAGAGAACAGTAAATGTCCCTACTATAGAAGATCAATGTGACTGGATACTCTCTGTGGTCTTAGAGGAATATCCAGGTATGCTGGAAGAAGATAAAGAACCCCAGCTCCAGACGTTCAGCTTCCTGTTCAGTTGAAACCATGTCAACAGTAGGTGCTGAAGAATACATACTGCCAATGACATACAGAGACAGTTCCATTTTGTCCATTAAATCCTCAAATAGTCCTCCTAAAGCAGAAGTCATCAACCCCTGGTCCGCGGCCCTGTGTCGGTCCGTGGCCTGAGCTGGATCAGGCCGCGAAGACAGACCTCCTGGGGCCCCTGCATGCACTCCCCTCCCCACAGCTGCTCTGTGCACATGCCAGCGCTGGCGCGAGTGCTCCCCCACCCCTTTGCGCATGTGCCTGAGTGTCCAAGCACCCACGTGAATGGGTGGGCGGACATGCGGGTGAGCGTGCATTGCCCCTGCCCCTGCACGAAGGGGTGGTGGGGCACTTGCGCTGGCAGGCAGGTGCTACCCCACCGCTTTGCGCATGCGCCTGAGAGAGAGAGTGCACCTGCGGGGGAGCCCTACCTTCCTTGGAGGCTCAGCCGGTCCACAGACCCAAAAAGGTTGGGGACCGCTGTCCTAAAGCACTGATGAACAACCTCTGGTTTATAAGCCAAGCTGCCTCCTAGACCTCCCTACATAGCCTGCAAAGGTCTCACTTCTTTCCTCTTTCTGCTTCTTGTGAAACAACTTTTTGCTGGCAACTTTTAAAATTATTTGCATTTTAATTTAAATTTTCAAAGATTCATAATGGTGTTTCTTATGGATAGACTGTGGATTACTTACGCTTATAATGATTTAAGTGAGTAATCTATGTATGGACCTCCAGATGTTATTCAGTTCCCATCAACCTTAGCCAGAGAAGCAAAAGATTAGGTGTAAGAAATGGGAGCCTCCCAAATGCCATGTGCTCCACTTCTCTCTCTTCCTCTGCTCACCCTTCCCTCTGAGGAAGGCCAAAGAAGAAAGAGGCCCAAAGCTACGATCTGTCTTGTCTTGCTCCACTTCCAAAACCATTGTTATTGGGAAGAAGTTCATGTGGCTCACTTTGCTTCACAAGATGTTTTGACTTTTAAAGCTATTTTGAACCTACATCAAAATGTTCACCCCCCACATAGCTGTGAAACTAATCTGTACAACTTAGTTTGAGTCTCTTTTATACATTAATGCCTTGCACAACCACTGATTGTGGCGCAGTGGTAAACCGCTGTACTGCAGCCAAAACTGTGCTCATGACCTGGGGTTCAATCCCAGGTAGCCGGCTCAAGGTTGACTCAGCCTTCTATCCTTCCAAGGTCGGTATAATGAGTACCCAGCTTGCTGGGGGGGGGGGGCAATGTGTAGCCTGCATAATTAACTTGTAAACCGCTCAGAGAGTGCTTGAAGCACTACGAGGTGATATATAAGCAGCACACTTTGCTGCTTATATACAACCAGAGTACAGGTTGCTGTCCTCTGAAGATGCCGGCCACAGAGACTGGCGAAACGTTAGGAAGAACAACCTCCAGAACACGGCGAAAGAGCCCGAAAAACCCACAACAACCACACTTTGCTTTGCTTTTTTGACTGTGCATGTGTTTTGCTTGTGCCATATTTCTATATGAAGCTCTCCCTTTACCAGGAATTAAGCTTAGCAATCATGGTATTAAATGGGTAACTAAAGAGAAGCAATATTCATATACATACTGTACTTTTGCAAAAACGTACATTGTTGTTGTTATGTGCTGTCAGGTCACCACTGATGCATGGCAACCCTATGAAAGATCAGTCTCCAAAATGCCCTTCTTCAATAGCATACATAGACATCTTCATATACTGTGCAGCAACATGCAACTTTTACAAACTGATACTGACATTTAAATCAAATAAAACATATAAATGCCAAAATACCTTTAAAGACCCTAAGGGACTGTTGTCTTGGACTATACAGTAATTTTTGCTTCCTAGTTAGGGATGTACTTTTTCATTCTATGGTTCACTTCCTTATTTTCATGGGCTGTACATAGCCCAAGTGTCGCATTTCATGGCAAGCTTCACTGGCATAAAATTACAGACAGATTCCTTTTCATGTAGACAAAAAGCAATTGGAAGCCTTCCTGTGCCTGTCAGATTTCAAAACAAGGGGAATCTGTAATTTCATGGCATTCTACAGATTTTACATTCTACAGAGAAGTCTAACAAGTCCATAGTGCCAAGATTAGCAGACATAACAATGGGTTTTTCTAACAAAATAGTTCAAGAACATTCAGTTTGTGGAAGAAATTATCACACGGGGGAAAACTGAATGTCTAATTATTTTCATTAGTAATTTTAACATTTCATAAGTAACAAGCAACACACAAGAGTTCTACACCACTGCAGAAGTTAAGGTACCTTATCCATCTATTCTGAATCTATGACCAAGTTGTATCACCTGTGAGACCTTTCACTGGCTAAAGAACCCCTGAAAATTCTGAGAATTTATGGGGCAAAATAAAGTGGTTATTTGTGTCTCCAAACCTAACAAAAACTTGCATTGGGACTTCACCTGTGGCATAGTAAATGATAGTATTGGTGGCTAAGGAATCTAACAGCTCTCTCACCTAGTAAACTGCTCTGCTGTCACAGGTAGTAAGAAGCCAGTCTATATTCCTGGGTTTCTGATTCAAAATATGTGGTGGAGAGATGGACTGATATCAGACTTTTGCAAGCTACTTCTTTAATGAGGGCTCCTGTGGTTAACCATTGTGCATGCAGTTTGCAAATTTAGATTAGTTAAACTTCAACACAGAAAACACACATTCTTTAAGAACACAGGACCTGCTTAGCTCAACTGGATCAATACATATTTAGTGCAGCATTCCTCACAAGATTCCCAGTCAGTCCAACCATGGATCGGATTCTATATTGTCCTTAGAAGTTGTCTGCCTTATCTGGCTCTTAATATGTAGTGAGCAACTCAGTAGGTGTGTGTCAGGATGAAACACAGCAGCAGCCTGCAACCAGCTGAGTGCCAAGCAAGATCCATGTCATGTGTGTGACTATGCCCACAGGGAGATGCATTCTTCTAGAAATGAAAAGACAAGACTAGCTGGAAAGGATGGAAGAGGCTGAAATTTGCTCATGCTGGATGTCTTGCACACTATTTCTGTGACAACTGGCTAGTGTTCCTCCCTCTTCTGTTTCATCCTTCTCTTCCTCCACTTTTCACATCTCCCTAAGTACTTATCAAAGGTAAGACAGGCAGGCTTGAGCAGAGGCAAGAGGTCACCAATTGCTGGCAGTCACCAAATAGCAGCTGGGGGTGAAAGTGATCTTATTCTACTTGGGGGGGGGCATAAACGTTCATCCCCAAATGATGACTAATGAAGCCACTGGCGATTTTTCAAGATAAATCTTTCAAGTTCCTTCTACAGCTTATTTTTGTAACTTCATCCCTTGTTCTTCTGATTAGCCAAGTACCTTTCTGTAATGCTGCACGTCTGGTGACAAACATAAACCAGATGACATTCTGCCCAATCCCCGGCCTTGTGCTGTTTCAGGAATCTGATTTCCCAGAATGAAAAAAGGACAAATGTCTGTTCTAAAAGTGGTATTCAGGTGACATCATATGCTTTTTGTTTTATAAATAGCTATTAACAGACTCTGTAAATAAGCTATTTCATAAAGAACGTCTGGAATGAGCCAACAGCAAAGGATGCGGGTTGAAATTCTGTCAATGAGTTTCACAGCCTTTTTTTTGGATGCAACCACTATTTTGTAAAAACTGGCCAGCTAAAATGGCTACCACCTCAGAAACTTATGTTCTGTTTTCAAAGCTGTGGTTCTAGCTATAGAATCACAAGGAAAACTAGCTAGCACTAGGTATGGCCAGTTGTTGGATGGGAAGAATGAAATTTAATTTTAAATTTTATCTCACTATGGATTCTCTGTTAACACCATAACAGTTTACCTGAGCTGTAATTTAAGACACAAGAGCCATAATCCAGAGGTTTGCTTCCAGGACTCAGAGAGCTTTTGCATGTGGGGTTTCTTAGAACAGCTATGAAAATCAGAATAACATGGCAGATGATGTTGGATTTATGCAGCTTAAAAAATAATCAAAGGCATTTCCAGAGTTAGTCCTGTTATAGATGTATGGGTGTGAGTCCATGTATGTATGTATGTATAAAACAATATACTGCACTTCCAAACTTCAGGAGAGAAGTCCAACCATTATGTAGCCAAAATGTCATCACCGCTGTATAAGAGTCTGAGATCACTTTCCAACCATTGCAAAAGTAGAAAAGAATCTGGAAAGGGGGAGAGTTCTTAGGTGTCATTCTGCCCAAACAAACCAAAAGGACACAGCAGTGTAGAAGAAGAGTGACGCTATTGAGTGGTTGTGAGGTGGAATGTAACAGCTGGAAAGGAAAGAGGGAGGAAGAGGCACACAACACAAAATGCCCAGAGACAATAACTTCAGTGTCTGAGTAGATAATTTCCCAATTCACACTAAGAAGATGTTGAAAATGCTTCCAGGGATGGAAGCAAGAGTTGCCTATACAAATCAATGAAGAAACTCAGTATTAAGTAATAACGACATTATTCCAGTAATTATTTCTATCCTTTCAGTGACAGAAAGCTACAAGGGAAAAGGTCTTCATTTTTAAGGAAATTACTGACAAATCCATTGAACATTGTTAGGATTTAGAAATGTGCAACATTATTAAATGCAATGGGTCCAAGCAAAAAGAAGTAAACTGTGAACCCCAGCAAACATTGCTGCCAAATCAAACTTCCATACCTCTCAAGATGTAATTCTGGTAGTTCTGATCTGCTTCAGCGCCCACCTTTATTAAACAAGTAAGGCCTTCTGCCACAACAAATTCATGGACCAAATCCTTGTCATCCTGTCAAGGAGTGGGTAAGGGAGGAGAGAAAAAGAAATAAGATGCCATTTAACACACTTGAAATACAAAACGCTTAGGTAACCATGGATCACAAAATTCTCATTTAACTACTGATTTCTTCCCATTGACATAGATATGAACTGATGCTGTACACTAGATGCAATCATCCTTAAATAACAGTAATTGCCAATAGGCAAGTGGTGAGAAAGTTCTTTGATCTTGGTAAGCAAGAAAGCTCAGAAACAGAGTTGTATGGCAACAGTTCAAGCAACCTGTTTTTTAGTTGAAATTAATTTTGGCAAGGATTTATTGCCTTTTAGTTGTACCTCATATTAGGGAATGCACCTGTTTTTACTCTTGTTAAAAACTCATTCATTCCATGAACTGTCTGGGACAGAATTCCACATATAATCCACCCAAGTATTAACATCAGGACATCAGCCTATCACATCCCAGTATGACACCTCTCTCTTTAACCCAACTTTTTCCCATACTCTTTGCTTCTCTCTTCATTCTGCTACTCGCCCAGCACTCAAGTATACACATGTGAAAATGAAGCTCCTTATTAGACATTTGTGGGGTGGAATATCAACTCCACAGTTACATTCCTGCCAATTATTATAGTTGAAAGAACAGTATTTTCAGCTCGTGAGAAGCTAGGGATTTTTTGTGGTGGTGGTGTTTTTGTTTTTTTTTGTCATCATAGAATATCCTGATTCAAGAAACTTGCTGAAATACAGTGGTGCCTCGCAAGACGAATGCTCACAGGACGAAAAACCCGCAAGACAATTGTTTTTTGCGATTGCTATGGTGCCTTGCAAGACGGCTTCTTCTATGACCATGCTTAGCAACACTTCCCCCCCCCGAGGCCGATGCCTTGCAAGACGAAAAAATTTCATTCGTCTTGCAAGGTTCCCATAGGAATGCATTGAAATTAATTCCTACAGGAAACCGCTATTCGCAAGACAGTGCTTCTCACGGAACAAATTAAATTTGTCTTGCGAGGCACCACTGTATGTATTTTTGATAAGTAGTAAATTTTTGATAAGTATACATTGTTCATGTCATAAGAAAGTGAGATGACAGAGCTTAGTGGGAGAAAAATGGTCTACTTAGTTCTCAGCCACCGGAAAAGGATTTCATAGGTGCAGTTATGACACACTTCACAGAAGAACCACAAGAGCCATATGATTTGGTGATACTAAGAGTTCATTATCAGTTCACCTAATTGGGGTTCTGGGCAAACCAACAACCCATCCAGGTTATTTACTTGAGCAATTAGTAGTATCTAGGCAAATGTATGTATTTGTAGCTACTACAAAAAATGTGGGCACAAACAAATATACACACTTACGAAAATATTTGTAACTGTTTAATTTTTAACCAGCAGAACAGGATCTTGTGGATCAAGGTTACCTAACATGCTTCACAGAAGAGTTCAGCAAATGCCCATGACTAGATTATCCTAATCAGTGGATCCAACTGGAACTCTCAAATTCAGTTTTGAAAATTTTTGTAAGATTTTCAGTCAAGTCCTACTATTTGTCCCAATTAGAGTAGACCCACAGAATCAATAGTACTTTAGATAAGTGAACACATATATAAGTCCAATAATTCAATAGATCTACTTTATCTGGAAACTATCAGAATTAACCCTCTATTTCCATAACCACTTAAAAAACTTGTATGCCATTTTTCCAAAAAGCACATAAAGAAAAATTATCAGAGAATAGTATCTCATAAAAATAGACTGTTTAGAGACGTAGATGCGATCGTCTACTGGAGAAAAAGCAATTCTTTTTGAGAATACAGTAAAACTTGCAAAAATTGTAACATAATCTGTTAAGAGTCTAGATCAGTACAAGCTGAATGAAGAGTCTACAGGAAAAAGAAACAAAAAGTTAATACAAATGAAAAGCATATTACTTTGGAGCCAAATCTGAATTAAAAACATAAAAGAATGAAAGAATAAAATACATTTGATCTAGACTGCCTTGAACAAGCAATTGAAGCATAAAACTTTAAAACAGTATAAGATTATTTTTTTAAAGGAAGGGGGTGGAAAACTAGGGAGAAAGAAAACATAAACACCGTCATGGAAGACATAATAAATTTGTAAGCCTATTGTATAATATATTTATAACGTGGTAGAGCTATGAGGAGGTTCAAACATTTGGATTATACGAAGAATGATTAAAAGAATGTAAACTCATTCTCCTTACATTAAAAGGTTTATGTTTACATTATTTCTGAACTAAAGTAATCTTTTTAGGTCTATTAGTCCAATGAGTTACCAAAATGGATGACCTTACATATAAAAGCTTTTCTAACAATAACCAGCAGTTCATGCCTTCCATTGGTGTGTTGTGGAGGAAGAGAATGTTCTCAATATAAAAACAAAGTCCAGCAACAGATTATGATTAGACATTTTGATAAGTAGCTTCAGCACATATATGCATCTGTGGCGGTAACAGAAAGGAATTTGCCCTTGAGCAGAAAAATGAAACTGTCCAGTAATTAGGCAAAGATTTATGCCTTGGCTCTTTCATCAGCAAGCATTGTAGTGCTGATGAGAAAAACAGCTAAACATGGGAAATTACTAGATTGGATTATCAGTTGCAAGAGTTCTGAACAATTATGAGCAAGTCCCACTGACTATCCACTTCAGGATGGATGCTAAAGGACATACCACAGAAGCAACTTTTATAATTATCCCAATAAGAATGAAAAACATAGCCATTTATATCAGGGTGGATAAAAATCGGTGATTTTATAAAAATAAAATTGATTTAAATCACAATTTAAATTTTAAAAAATAAATGTTTTGATTTAAATGGTCAAAAATCTATTTTTAAAATCTTAATTGTGATTTAAATCAATCTGACCAATCAATTATGATTTAAATTAGTTTGATTCAAATCCACCCTAATTTATATCTTGCATGTGGAGCACTGTGTAACAGGAAACATTTCCTGGAAAAAGCTTTTCAAAAGATTCATGATTTTTAATGTCACCAACCTGGCATGCTGAAAATTACTTTTATCTAACACCACCATAGCTGAGATAAGCTGTTCTAGTGGTGACAGCTATTGGGAGAAAAAGAAATTGCTGTCAGAAACATTTTTAGTTATTTTTATAGTAAAAAGACTTCTAATACCATTCTGCCCAGAAAAGAATCCAGAAGAATATGGCTCATTGGAAGAGGTCTATATCACTCTTAGGTTATAAGGGTCAACTCACACATGCAAATATTTTATTTCTCATTGATTACTCGCACTTCAGTGTGTTCAGCACTGACTCAGTGACTCAGTTGAACAGCACTGCCCCTGAGATGATATCACCTTTTAAAAAAATGTTGTGCAGTTTGATTTCTAATGGCTAACCTTTGGTCTAGATGGGCGGGATAGAAATCCAATCCAATCCAATCCATCCATCCATCCATCAATAAATAAATAATTCTAGTTCATTTGCCATCTGGACTATTTTACTAATCTGTATTTTCTTCATGCACCCAATTCAGACTGGCCTCCCTGCTCATCGCATTTATTTGAATCAGATACCGTAGTTTGAAATCAGCCACCAGCAGGGGGAGGAGGTAATATTTTTTCTGAAAGATCACCTCAAGAGACCAACTGCAAGTGATACCAGGATGAGATTGGGGCAGCAATGCAACATATTTATATGGAATATCATGTTAGCATTTTATTCAGTAGTTTCAATATCCCACCCTCTATAGACTATGTGTCCTTTCAGAACAGCATACAAAAATGAATTAGAACAAAACAATCAAAAAGAAAAAAAATATTACCATGCAAAATACAAAACAGTACAGAACTGTATAAAAAAACTTAGCAGCTTCAATTAAAATGTGATAGGTCCATTGGATGCCACTCATATCAAGAACCAGATACAGCTGTGCGCCACCTATAAAAATTGAAACAACTTGGTGAGTAATTGTTCATTGTTGTTGTTGTTTAGTCGTTAAGTTGTGTCCGACTCTTCGTGACCCCATGGACCAGAGCACGCCAGGCCCTCCTGTCTTCCACTGCCTCCCGGAGTTTGGTCAAATTCATGTTGGTAGCTTCAGTGACACTGTCCAACCATCTCGTCCTCTGACGTCCCCTTCTCCTCTTGCCTTCACACTTTCCAGACATCAGGTTCTTTTCCAGGGTGTCTTCTCTTCCCATGAGATGGCCAAAATATTGGACCCTCAGCTTCAGGATCTGTCCTTCCAGTGAGCACTCAGCGTTGATTTCCTTCAGAATGGATAGGTTCAATCTCCTCGCAGAGTCTCCTCCAGCACTACAATTCAAAAGCATCAATTCTTTGGCAGTCAGCCTTCTTTATAGTCCAGCTCTCACTTCCATACATCACTACTGGAAAAACCATAGCTTTGACTATGCGGCCCTTTGTTGGCAGGGCGATGACTCTGCTTTTTAAGATGCTGTCTAGGTTTGTCATCACTTACCTCCCAAGAAGCAGGTGTCTTTTAATTTTGTGGCTGCTGTCACCATCTGCAGAGATCATGGAGCCCAAGCACATAAAATCTGTCACTGCCTTTGCCTTCTAAAATTGTTCATACTGGTTCTTATTTAGAGTATCTTTGAAATAATAGTCAGATAATTTCACTGTAGAATCATAAAGTGGAAAGGGACTTCAAGTCCAATCAGTTCCACTGAAGGATACCCAGTACTATAACACTCATTAATCCTATGCTTAGAATCTTCAGATAATGACAGTTCATCACATCTCATGTACTGCTATCAAGCCAAGTGGCAGCCATCTTGTACTTGTGTCTTTGATTTTTTTTCCTCCTAGCAAAAATATTAGTTTGTTTGTTTAATTTGTATACCACCCATCTAGCTACAAGGCTTGGCGGTTTACGACAAGACAAAACAATAATAACAGCCTTAAATAATAACTACATAAACAACATAATACTATAAATATAAGCAACAGACATATACTGATAATTAGAATTAGAACTTAACAGTTAACAA